CTCCTGAGCACAAACCACCTTCTCCGGCGGATTGGTGCAGTTGTACGGACAAGATGAACCACACAGGAGATACTCTTCGTTAGTTGGACATTCCTCTGAGAAAATAAAATCATATACAAGCCTTTTTAGGAATTTCACCTATGGTTATTATCAGCTCACTATATGCCCCCAGTGAGGGCCTCGGAGTAGGCTCCTGTCCTAAGCGAGGTGACTAGACCATAGTCAACGTTGGCCCAGTGCGGGTTGGCTTCACACGTATCCTTGAATCTTTTCTCAAATATGTGCAGGTTGCATCACGATGTTTTCCCTCACCGTAAAAACGTCAGATAAATGTATGTCATACGTACGTATACGCTCGCTCGCCCGTCGCTCTCAATGAGCGACGGGCCGCGTCCGCGAAATAATACCAGTACCACTCATCCTGATGAAGGGCCCCCGATGGGCTCGAAACTAGTCGGTGCCGTCACCGGACGTATATACGTGAGTGTTTAGCCGTGTTTATATATCAGTTTAGTATAATGTCTCACGAAAATTTGATTAATTTAACTCTTTGGTACATTGTTGTGGTTTTCTATTGTGAACATTTTACTATATTTTACGATTGAATTGTATTAATTTAAAGTTCCTTTTATTGTTGTACTGTTTAAAACAATCTCATATAAACACGTAGCGTAAAATCATTTAATTATTGGCAAGTGATTTCGTTACGCATGACCAATAAATAATCACCTTATACTTCCTATTGCCTTGAATTTGTCATCTTGTAAACACTTATTGAGTTTTTTTCAATGAAATATTTTATATTGCTGTTTGCTTTTTTGTGTTTTTATATCAGGAAGTTAGATTGTAATATGCTTAGTAAGTTACTTTTGGTGATTTTTTATTTATTATTTCAGTACAATTGATTTAATTTCCTACCAGTTTTTACATGATTTATTTTTTTTATTTAAATGTTTCTTAATATTATTTTATAACTCGTCTTAAATTTCACCAATTACTTCATCCCTTTTATCTTCTTTAAAAGTTAAAAATGGGTTCGATATAGTTGTGTTAAGACAAATTATTTATAAAAATTTTCAAATAGAAAACGAATGTCCTCATGATGAGATCTACAAGTCGTGTTCATTCTACGAGGAGTATACATGCTGGCAGACGGCGGAACGCAACAGCAGGGTTAAGACTATTCCTAAGCGGCTACCACACTGCAGAGCTGGATGTTACTGCAAGTATGATACATTTGGATAAGAGTCAATCGACCAATAGCTTCAGATACCACTGGAGAGACGCCGTGAGATACAGGACAGGCTTAGGCTACCTCTTGTATTGGAAGCCAAGATACACTTTGGGTGGCTACGCCAGCGGAGTCATAATAAGTTAGAGTTAATATAAATATTCGTACACATTTTGTTTTGATTTCAGGAAAGGTTTGGTGCGAGCGTATCCTCAGAGCGGGTGCGTGCTCTCTGTTATGTGTAGACATCAAGGATTGCAAGATCTACTTGAAAAGTTAACATCATCTTTTAGGGCTTTTCAATAATATGTTCACAAATATATTTGCTGCTTCAAGTCCGTCTGTGTCATCGATAGGAAGAAAGTATACAGAGTGTTCTTAGTCGAAGCAAATCAGTATATTTTCAGTTAAACTAAATCTTACTAATATTAAAAATGCGATTGTTGGATGAATGGATGGATGGATGTTTCATTAAAGGTATCTCCAGAACGGCTGCATACATCTTGCTGAAATTTGGCATAGATTTGGAACATAGTCTGAAATAACACGTACGTTACTTATTAAATTTTTATAATTCCGCGCGAAGGGAATCGCGGGCGATATCTAGTAACCAATATTTATGTAACTGTGGTCGTTTGGTTTTTATCGTTATAACATACTAGTTATCGCCCTCGACTCCGTACGCGTGGTTACATTATACAAAAAAAACTTAATTAGTGTAGCCTATGTGTTCTTTCAGACTATGTTCTATATGTATGCCAAATTTAATCGAAATCCGTTCAACCGTTCTAGAGATATTTTCAAACACCCAGCCCTCCATCCACATCACATCCATCTAAACATTCGCATTAATAATTTTAGTAAGTTAAATAAAAAGCAGCTCTTTAAGGCATAAATGAATAAATAGTATCCTATGTCCGTCTCCTGGCTCTAATCTACCTCCTCACCAATTTTCAAACATATCGGTAAAGCCGTTCTTGAGTTATAAATTGTGTAACTAACACGACTTTCTTTTATATACATAAAATTAAGATTTGGTCGAAACATCAAGCTTTCTTCACACAACTTCTTTACAGAGATGGAGATATTCCAACTAATAAATATTTTAACTCTATATAGAGAAAACGAACATATAAATAGGTCATGTAACTTGTAAGCATAATTATAAAGGCTTAATTAACTAATTAATTACTAATATTCTATCAAATGTGTTATCTTTACAGAACATTCTAATTAATTATTTTATCAATTACCGCAATTAATTAGGTCGATATATACATTAAACACATAATTATACGCTTTATATTCTTGACCTTATTAAGCTTAGCTCTTAAATACTAGTAATACATAAAATTACTACAAATTACTAGATTCATAATTATAATCAACGATGTATAAGATTTTCTTAATTCTGCAATTAAGTTGCTGACAAAAGCTAATTATATGTATATTTTACTTTATTATGAAAATAATACTCCAATTTATCGCACGTTTGTTTTCTATTTAATTGGTTATTACAATTGGTATATTATCTCCAGAAAATATCATCTTTTTCTCTTCGAAAAGACAGATAACAGTATCTTCACTTTCCCTTCTCACCCATTTCTTATAAGGAAAGGATGGAAAAGATAGTGGATTTGACGAAGGAATGGATGTGTCCCCTCTTCTATAGATTAAAGGTAGGCAACACATTATATAACTATCAAAAAATTATACAAAACTCACCATTAGCAACGTAAAAACCACTCGAAACAACAAAGAAAGCGAACAAACCCACTATTCTTAACATCGTAAACTCAACAAAACACCTGGTCCTCTTGATTATCGTAATAATTCTGATGAAATTAAGAAATCGATCAGGTACAGTACTGACCTTAGCCACAGTCGACTGCCCGTGATTAGGGCCAAAAAAACGGTGCCATCCTTGAATGCAATTAAGTGCACCGAAGCATTACAGATTTCTTACATAAATTATAACGTGTTAGGGTTCCCTAATATTAGGGTTCGCTAATTGTACGGGCAACACTTTAAGCTGTCGGGGAGAGGGACGGATAATTTATCGAGAGCTGGGAGGTAGAAGGAGGTCGGTTGGACATTCGGCATCGAGCGGTTGAAGTGGAAGGTTGTGGCAAAAGTGAAAATAAAGCAGTGAATATAATATTTGGTTTTGCTTGAGTAAGACATCCTGAAACCCAGATATATCGTGCGTCTTATATATCAGAAGTGGGATGCCAACCAAACTTAAAACGTAAGTACACGCCCATGGCTATTATCATTTTGACTTATACTCGTATTATATTTCTTAATGTGTTTACCTGTGCATATTAAATTATAGTTTTATTTAGAACTACAATTTGATTAAAGTTAATGATGCTATTGAAATCAGTGGTAGTTTAAAACGTATTTCGTAGCGAATGAACATGCGTTGAACAAGGGTAGTAAGATAAACAATGTTAAAACTTATCTAAACGGCGGCGCTAAGTAGTGTTGTATTGTGTTGTAATGTTACCTACAGTATGGTTTTTATCGATTTAACGTTTTCATACATATTTAATATAAATTATTTTGTATAAATTTATAATTCTAATAATAATAAGTCTGGAGTTTTCAAGTATATTACACAGTAGTTATGCCCCGAATCGGAGAT